ACACACACGGTTCCACCACAAAACCGTGTTCGACTAAAGCGCGCTCGACGAAACCGCGTAGCTGACATCATCAACAGGGCGACAACAGCATGGAGACAGAAGCACGCTGTAAACGCTAAACCTAAAATTAACCCCTAAACCTAACCCCCCTAAACCTAACCCTAACCCTAACCCCCTAAACCTAATCCTAAACCTAACCCTTAATCTAACCCTAAAACTAATCCTAACCCTTAACCTAACCCTAAACCTAACCCCCCTAAACCTAACCCTAACCCTTAACCTAACCCTAAATCTAACCCTAACCCTAACCCCCTAAACCTAATCCTAAACCTAACCCTAAACCTAACCCTTACCTTAAATTGAATCGGCTTGCTTTCAAAGCGCTATTTAAAGCGCCCTTCTTTCTCCGCGCTGGCTGTTGTCGCCCTGTTGATGACGTCAGCAACGCGGTTTAATTGGGCGTGGCTTAGTTGAGCGCGGTTTTGTCGTGCCACGCACACACACACATTATATAGTCTTTTTAGAAATTATGTGCCCTAACCACACAGATATATTTTCTCTTTGGTGGTTTGTTTGCCCCATCGGGTCCGTCAATGTCTTCCAATGGTGTACCCATTGTCACTGTAACTGGGTCCATCCGCCTTGCTTTGGTCATTCCCTTCTTCTCTTTCCATCCACCATTCCCAGCATTATAGCCTTCTTCAGAGAGCTGGGTTTCTGTATAGTGTATCTAAAGTGGTTTAATATAAGCCTGGTCTCTCTGGATTGATTTGTTCTATAAGCAGTTTGTTTTTGTGTCCAGCGTATTCTCAGAAGTTTTTTCCCCAACATCAAAAAGCATCATTGTTATTTTTTCAATCCTGCTTCCTCAAAATACAACTTTTGTTTCCACAGAGTGTCACAGTGAATGCCATTGCGTGCAGTATCCTGATCTTTGTAGGTACAGACACATTACAGCAGGCAACTTCATCCTTGGCAACTTCAAAATCTACGGACTTCAACTACCATCTGAAACCTCGCAATATAGATGGCATTATTCTAACAACCAAAAATGTAAAGATGCTGTTTGGGGGATTCTGGTAGCTGAAGTGCATAAAATTTAAAGTTGCCAAGATTGGACACCCCTGAATTAGGAGCATCTGTGTATCTTTTCCATGGTCTTCATGGCTCTTCTGGGAATATTTCTTGACTTTTTGAACCTAAAAGTCAAAAGCCATTTACCACTTCAATATCTTCCTTGTTGGGTTAGATGTTGTACCTGCTGTTATTAGTCTGGATTTCTTTATAGTCTCATTTTTCACCTGTACTCCTTGACTTTTATTACTAGAGTTTGCAGAATCTTTACATTTATAGCTGTTAAAGTAATGCTGCTATAGCAAAGTTATTGATGTTTCTTCCTTCAGTTTTAAAACCACACTCATCTTCTTCCTATCCCAATTCCTTTAAAACATTTCCAGCATATAAACTGAATAAATAAGGGAGAATACATAGTCTTGTCTTGTGCATTTGCTAGCCTGGAGCAAATCTATTCCGTCAATTGTGTTTCTGTCTATATTGTGGCTTCCTGACCCATATATAGATAATAGAATGGAATGGAATGTAACAGGAACATGATTGCACACACAAGACATTTGTCTCTGGTGCATATGCTCTCAGTGTACACATACAAGCAGCAAAGTGATAAATCATAAGATACAACCAACAAAATGATAGTCATAAAAATAGGAGTAGGTAATAGGAAAGATGAGAATATGAGGACAATGAGATATTCAGGGACCCCCTTTTTTCTAAACACATTTCACAGCTTGATATGATCAACACAATCAAAAGCCTTTTTATCATCATAATGCTTCATCGTGACATTTTTTTGGCCTGGTGTGTATCAGCAATAATTTAGAAGCTAAGATCTTAAATTGTTCAGATTGTGAGTTTATTATTTACAGTGAATTTATATTACAAAATCTTTCTGTTTCCTAAAATTGCTTGCTTGAGGGATTCTACTTTTGCTTGTCTGTATGTGGTGTGTTTCTTTTACTGCTTATTTGTATGTTCTTTTTCATTTTTCTCCTATTCTCTATTAACAAGATGCTTGTTTAATTTAATTATTCCCTCCTGCCTTGCATGGAAAAAAAAATCTCTTAATTTCACGTTAGCTAGATGATACTTGCCCTCCACTCATCTGTCAGAATTTTTGGCTTAACTAACTATATAGAGACATTAGAGTTGCCAATTGCTGTCTCTTCTGTTGCCTTTGGCCCTTCTGTTCTTTATGGGATCTCTGGCCTCCAAATTGCTAAAAAGCTGCAGGCGTGTTTCTGGAAGTCTGAATGTTCCTTTCAGACCATGAAGGCATCTGTCTTCCATCACAGAAACATACTACAGTGGCTTCTTTGAAAAGCAGCTATTCCATTCTCTCCACTGAACCTCAGTTTCCCCTTTTGCTTGTGGGAGGAAAACGGCTAAAAAGCTCTAGTACCAGAGTGTATCCTTTTAAACCTTTTCCATTTCTCCTGGCATCTTTTAGAATGATTTAAAATCTATGAGCGGTTGGTTTTCATGATGATAATCATGGGCACTCCTGTTGCAATATAACAGTGCAACAAAACTAAATCAAAATGGGCAATACAAGGACTAAATATGGTCTTTGGAATATTTTGAGGAAGCTTGTAAGACAATTGGAATAAATCAGTGGAAGAGAGGGGAACTAAATGATTGAAATTGGATGTGTGTGTTGTATAGACAAACCACAGGGAAACACACATCTGTGCTTGATGGGAATGAAATCAGAAGCTTGAAGGGCTTCCATTTAGCAAATGAATGGATGCATTGGCGCCAGACCATTGATTTAAAAAGCGCCAATCTTGAGAGACATTTATGCTCGAGGCAATGCAGTTACGTTCTCACAAAGAAGAGATGGGGAAGTAAATCTGTACCACAGATTGTAATGCTCCAAATAACAAATGGAGATGGTTTAATTTTTCTTTAAAGGTCAATAAAAAGCGTAACTTGTGGAAAGTTAATCATGGATAATTTATTCTGTCATTTGGTTTTCTACATGCCGGGCTGCAACTGGGATCTAGGCCGAAATTGTGTAGCAGGAAAGATCTCTTTGGACAGATGAGGTCAAGGAGCAGATTGGTTGAGTAGGTTGACAGGTGAGCTGGCAGGCAAGTAGAGAGGGTTGAATTCACTGTGGTCTCTTGGGGTGGCTGCAGTAGAGTAAATTTAAAGAAAGAAGAGAAAAGAAGCTCCATTCATTTTTATAATTAAAGTGAGTGGAAGAGCAAAACTGAATGGGAAAAGTCAGGCGTTTCAATTGTGCTAATAACTCTCTCCTCTCCTGCCACTCCTTCCTGTTTATTTTAATTTGTTTTACGTAAGAGACACTGTTTGGACTGAATGAACAGCATGAAGCAGAGTGTACAGTTCGTGGAAAGGTCATTGTGGGAGGATGAGAGAAAACCAGGGCCAGCTGATGAGTTGGAAAGCTCTACAACAGTGGTTCCCAAACTTGGCAACTTTAAGACTTGTGGACTTCAACTCCCAGAATTCTCCAGCCAGCAGAGCTGGCTGGAGAATTCTGAGAGTTGAAGTCCACAATTCTGGGAGTTAAAGTTGCCAAGTTTTGGAACCACTGCTCTACAAAGTTGAATTCAAAGCTGTCTCCTTTTTAAAATTGGCTGTAAAATGAACAGTTTCTAAGCTCCCTGAAACTTAGTAGGTCCAATTTCGTGGCCAACAATGGGAGGAGTAAATGTATGCCACTTAGATACAGGCAGCAGGAGCTGACTTAGAACTCAGTTGAAATCAGGAGGGAGGGAGCAGAATGAACTGCAGAAATAATGAATGGAAAATGAAGCCCAAATGACGAAACGTTGGGAATGAACTAAAAAGAAGTAGGTGAAAATAAAGTTTACTGAGATAAACGTCCCCAACTTGGTATCTTTCAGATGTGTTGGTAAAACCCATCACTTGCAACTATCACTAAGGATGACAGGAATTTCGAGCCACTTTATTCTAAGTTCTAAGTATTTGAAATGCCCTTTGTGTTGGAGAATATCCAACACAATGTAATATGAAGTTGCTCTTTTAGATGTGTTGCCACGGTGGCCTAGAGCAAATAATGGATGTCTAACTTCATCTAAAGGATCTCTTGAATTCTTAGAAGAAGAATTCGTTCTTTCCATTACAGGTAGTCCCCAACTTAAGACCACAATTAAGCCTGAATTTCTGTTGCTAAAGGAGACATTTGTTTAAGTGAGTTTTGCCTCATTTTACAATATTTCTTGTCACAGATGTTAAGTGAATCACTGTTAAGTTGTTAAGCTAGTAATACAAATAAACTGAATATGGTTTCTCCATTGACTTTGCTCATCAGAAAGTCAAAAAGGTGATTATGTGACCCTGAGACTCTGCAACCATCATAAATATGAGTCAGTTGCCAAGCAGCTGAAGTTTGACCATGTGGCTATGGGGATGCAGCAACAACATAAGTGTGAAAAATGCTGCTATAACTTTGGATGGTCACTAAACAAACTCTTACAAGTCAAGGATTGTCTGTATCTAAAGTCTGTTTCAGTAATTTAAAAACCATCTGGATTGATCTTTTTAAAAAAAAATTACAAGAAATAAAGCAGCCAGTTTAAATATAATGCCAGGAGATATTTTAGTGCTTGGGGTTTCAAACCTACCCTGGCCATTGACAGAACAACCTTCAGACCTCTTAGTCATGTCATGTAAAACGATTCTGATAAACTCTACCTCCTCTTCTTCTTTGTTTCCTCCTTCTATATAGAAACGGGGAAATTAAAACCGTCATTTCAGGAGTGGGGAGGTTATGAGGAACAGAGGGAAGATGCCCTTTTAAAGACACTTCCCTCTTAGATTGCATTATTTAATATTAAAAGAAGAGGGGGGAAGAATCAAAGATTTAGATTAAAACCCATAGCAATTGTCAAGAGAGTACATAAATTATCTGCTTTTTCATTCTCACTTTCCAGATTCCACAATGAATGCAGCACGGAGGTCAGCCAGGATAGATTCAGAAGTGACAGAATCCCAGATGGAACCCTCCATCAATGCCACCGAGATGCCCTCCAAGGAGAACGTTTTTTCAAACATGAAAGATAAATTCATGAACAAATTGGGGAAACTGCCAAGTAGGTGAAATTAGGCTGTTTCCAATATAGCATTTCAAACTGGAGGGTGAATCCGATTGAAACTGCCAAGGCTGGTTTATTTAAATCAAATGACTGGATTTTTCAGTATTTTATTATACATAGCCTTATTTTTAATACTGATTATTTGTAAGGCTATCTTTTATAATTCCACAAAATTATAAGCTTTGGTAGCTGTAGCTTTGGGCCACCAAAGCTACAGGCTGTGCAGTTGTTGAATATCAGTTTTTTTTTCTTTCTTTCTTTCTTTCTTTCTTTCTTTCTTTCTTTCTTTCTTTCTTTCTTTCTTTCTTTCTTTCTATGCAGTTGTTGAATATCAGTTTTTTCTTTCTTTCTTTCTTTCTTTCCTTCTTTATTTCTTTCTTTCTCTGATTGAGTCAATGATTCTAGATGGCTTACAATTCAAACACTGCACATTTTTCATGAAGCACAGATAGAAAATGCACAGGTTATGACCATTTAAATGTTAAAGGCCAATAAGCCGAGTGCCTTGCATACCTTGTTCAGGCCCTTATGTGACACTTCTTTAATACTCCATTTCCATTGTACATAACATGATCATGTTTCTTCTAATATATCCCTCTCTTTTTCTTATGACAAAGATGGCGGAACTTCTTTTGTCAAAAATTCATTCTTTGTGGGAGACCAACTACTATGCATTAACTTTCAGCCAACATTTTCACATCCTAACATTTCTCACCCATCTTCCTATGCATAGTCACCAAGACACAACACTTCATTTAATCGCTGTAACTTTTTACCATTTAAATATAACTTGCAATGGTTCACTCCATTTCCCTGTCAAGCAGAACCTTGGTCTTCCATATTTCTACTGCAGCATATAGCTAATATTTGCTATAGATTCATTAGATTTCTCAATCAACAAAAAGAGATTGCTGCATAAAATGTGGGATTCCACAAATGCTTAATAATTTCTCCCTTCTGACACATTAAGACCTATAATTTCATAATACATTTATTATTTATTATAATGGTTAGTTACACAGTCAGCTAGATGTTTAGGCTGACATCTAAAATAAATAGATTATCGTTATTGTATATACCACTTTGTGAAATTGCAGCTGGCAGTTCTTGAGCTTGTGTTGACCTCAATATCCATCCATTTATTAACCGGGTCTATTAAGATCAGCCTGAGATCAGCCAAGGCCCATTAGATATTCCTAGTGATAATTGTTGTTGTTGTTAGTTGCGAAGTCGTGTCTGACCCATCGCGACCCCATGGACAACGTTCCTCCAGGCCTTTTTGCCTTTTTTGCCAACTGTCCATGGGGTTTTCATGGCAAAGATACTGGAGTGGGTTGCCATTTCCTTCTCCAGTAGATCATGTTTTGTCAGAGTTCTCTGCTAGGACCTGTCCATCTTGGGTGGCCCTGCACGGCTTAGCTCATAGCTTCATGAGTGATAATTAGGAAAAGTCAAATTTAAGCAGGAAGTGATATAACATGAGGCAACCACTTTGCTCCAGAATCTGTGGCATCTCCTTTCACTGGTCTCCTTTTCCGTCTACTCTAGTACCACCATGGGCTTTGGCCACCATTCTCATTGTTGCTGGCCTCTTGCTTCTCTGCTGCTGCTTCTGCGTTTTTAAAAAATGCTGTGGCAAGAAGAAGAAAGGGAAGAAAGGCAAAGACAAAGTCAAGGCACAAATCAACATGAAGGAAGTGAAGGAGTTGGGCAAAAGCTACATTGATAAGGTGATCAGTGAGTTTTTTTTCCTACAGCTCCCCAAACTGAGGATCTACACATCTTGCATAAAGGAACCTCCCTGACTTCAAAACCAGTTATTAATAATCAGAGGTTGCATGTTTGGGGCAAAGGCCAGAGTTTGTCCTTCAAATGAGCCTGTTCCCACCGTGCAGACTACAAATTGTTCTATAAAACCAAAAGCCTGAAAAGAGGATAGTGGGTCAAATACAGAGTCTTAAAAGTGGAGAAAATGTCTGCTGTTTTCCAAATATCTCCCAGAATTAAGTATAGCACATTTGAGGACTTTTCCTTGAAACATATAGAAAACACTATTATCTAGGGCAGGGGTGTCAAACTCAATTTCATTGAGGGCCACATCAGGGGTATGTTTGACTTCAGGGGACCAGGTGTGTGGCTGGAGTGTGTGGCCGGGGTGGATGTGGCCAGCTCGATGTCATCTGTCAAGGCTCTGTTTTCGGCCACGGCAGCCTCCTGCAGCCCTCTCCCCCCACCAGCTCCATTTTCACTGGCAGTGGGCTGTAGGAGGCCATCACGGCTGAAAACGGAGTCTAGGCAGGCCGTGCACAGCCCTCCCACTCTCCACTTTCATTGGCAGAGGCACTGTGGGCTGGTCCTTCGCTATTTCCGTGGTGGCCCTGTGGACCAGATCTAAGCACCCTATAGGCCAGATCTGGCCCATGGGCCTTGAGTTTAATACTTCTGGTCTAGGGGAATATCAGAAGGTCACACATTTTGTTGCTAGTATTTCAAGTTACTGTGGGTAATAGGGGAAGGAATGTTAGCTATGATTGCCCAAGCAGAAAAGTCATAGTAGAGCAGATGGCGCAATGATAAGAAAATATCATTACAGCAGGCAACTGCTGGAACAAATGACAGACAATAACCTGATTTAGGGGCAAGATGAAGAACTACAATTCCAGGGAGAAAGAGGAGGAGGAGAGGCTGTCCAAAGCCCTTTCCTTCCGGAAAACTCTGGAAACAGCACTGATTCTTGACTCAAGCAGAATAGTTTCAATTAAATGTGTTCTGTACAATGTCACACAAGGAGGCAGTCTTGAGATAAAGAAAATTGAATTCAGAATTGTGAAGGAAGGAAACAGGGCATTATCGGAAATAAAAACCAGGCCGATGCAAGGTGGAAGAACGCTCACCATTTTCCTTGGAAGCCTTGGCCTTTCCCCCATTTCAAATTCGAAATCATAACATTGTAGAGGAGGCTGCCATTAACAGGGAGAACCACTTGACTCGTGGATTTTTCTGAGTGCAGATCCGTTTGTAAAAACAAAAGAATGAAGTGGGAATATGAATTGTAGAGGTTTTTGTAGCACTCAAACTAGTGAAAAGAAGGGGCTGTTTGTCTTCTCCATAATATTTTCTCACATCATTAATCCCTGGGGTTCTATATTTACAAGGGGAAAAATACAGGCCTAATAAAACAGAAATGTTTCTCAACCTTAGCAGCTTTGAGATGAGTGGATTTCATCTCCCAGAATTCTCCACACAACTTAAGTCACTGAGGTTGAGAGATACTCATACAGAGAATAGGAAATACAGCTCAATTTTGAGGATTCTTTTGCCCAGAAGGCAGGTAACTGGTGATTGTAAGATGTTAAACTTGTGAATGCTACAAAAAAGCTTCTTCTTCCATAGAAGAAAACCATAGAGTCAATGACTAGAATGCAGCATCTTGAAAGTTCTATTTATGTTAAGCCAAGCTGACTCTGAGGGAATCAGGGAGTCAAAATGTTTATTCCAGCATCCTCTCCACCATTTTATTTGCATTGCTACCAGTGACAAAGTAATTCTTCCTCCATCTTTTATTTGTTCGGATTCCTTCAATAATTGCACTAATTCATCTGATCAGTGTTAGCAGGAATATTAGGTTGCCTCCTCCATGTGTGAGGTCTTTTTTCTCATTGCTATTGTATATTTTCGCATTGCTTCCAAGACTCTCATGCTATGTCTCTTTTTTCACCAGAATTTAGAGGAAATTCTAAAGAACAGGAGAACAGGCATTAAAATATTGAAGGATTTGACATCTGAATAACATCCATTTGTTAAGATCAGCATTGTCTGATAGATTTATGTACGATGGAAGGGAAAATTCACAATGAGTGGAATTTATGAGGATGTAGGAGCCTATACAAGTTGATTAGAGATGGGTTGCTCCCGGTTCGGCCCAGATCGGGCAAACCGGTAGTAGCGGCAGCGGGAGGCTCCGCCCACCCACATGTCACGCAAGCGCAGGCGCAAATGTGGCCGAATCGGTAGTAAAAAAAAAATGGCAACCCAACACTGAAGTTGATGTAAACCTAGCACTGACTGAATGCTTGTATCAGGGACCACTTAACAGCTGATCAACTGAAACCAGCTTTTCCCCCATGCCTTTCAAGGATTATAACCACCAGAATTGCCAAGCAGGATGGCACTCAAATTCTGAGATGTGATATCTCAACATATATGGAGGATTAAAAATTGGATAAAGAATGAGACTGAACAAAAGTTGATGCAGAAGTTGTTCATCTACTTAACTCCTAATGCTTCTCTGTTGATTATTTTGACCATTTCCTTCCTTCCAGGTACAGCCAGAGGTTGAGGATTTAGATCCATCATTGTTACAGGAATCCGAAGTAGAGAAGCCAGAGGAGAAACTGGGGAAACTCCAGTACTCTCTCGATTATGACTTCCAGAGCACACAGGTGGGCAAGATAAACATGTGTCTCAGCTTCAAACAGTTGCAGACTAATCTTTGTGTTCCTGTCAGTTTAGGAAGCTGCTGAAGCACCATCCAGAAAGTAAGAAATGCATTGTCAAGAAAAGACAAGTTCTGCGAAGTTACTTGCACATTCTGATTTATGAATAGTGATACATGTGGAAAACTAATTACTCTAATATAAAAGGAAGTACAATAGAGCTTTCTATCATGGGAAAGATGGTGACCAGGTCACTGTCCTCTTTCTGCTGCCAATTCTGGATGAGCATTTTTAGTGTCTCTTCTTTTAAAACTAGAACTAGATAAATTTCCAAAAGGATTCCATCAAATGAAGGATTGTTTCACCATAAAATAGGACAGCTAGGCCATTTACTTTCATTAACTGTATTACGTATCTGCAGTAGTTACAGTCCTTTCATCCTATCCTATTGGCAATATTTGAAATTAAATGTACAAGGAAATGTCATACAGGAGTTCAGCAAAATAATATACATTTTATATTTGAAAGTCCCAGGTTCTAACCCCAGCTCATACCTTTTCCAAAAATAATTGGAAAATATCAGTTTTTCCCCCATCACCTTAGTTGTTTTTAGTGGTCAACTTCTATCACAAAATACATTCTCTTTACCTCCTTAATGGGTGGAAGAAAAAAGACAATAGTTAGTATAGAAAAAATAGAATTAGAAGATAACCTTATCTAGACTTTTTAAAAATGTTTTGGATAGAGCAAGGTGATGACAATGACATGTTTAAAGGTGCTTGAGGAAATTCCTGTTTGTCAGAATATAGTTCAGAGGAACCGAGAAATCCTGAGTTGGATAGAACAATGATTTGGCTCAATGGAAGGCATTTTCCTAAGTTTGAATGCTTTCATTTTAAACCTTTCCCCCAGCTGGTTGTGGGTATTATACAAGCTGCTGACCTCCCAGCGCTGGACATTGGGGGCACCTCTGATCCTTATGTCAAAGTCTTCCTGCTTCCAGAGAAGAAGAAAAAGTTTGAAACCAAAGTTCATCGCAAAACTCTCAATCCTACATTTAATGAATCTTTCACCTTTAAAGTAAGTTCATGTTTCTTTTCTTTTCACCAAAGTTACAAAAATACACAAATACATTTCTTCTACCTCCTCCTTGTTAGTTCTGGTCTCCCCTCATCTATTATGGAACTTCCCTTCATTTCACACCTCTAATCCCTCACCTACCAACAAATGCTCAACCGAAAGTGCCCATAATTTAATCCTGTATCTCCATTATGTTTAATGAATAGGTCCCTTATTCAGAACTCGGTGGTAAGATCCTCGTCATGGCCGTCTACGACTTTGACCGTTTCTCCAAGCATGATGTCATTGGTGAGATCCGTATCCCCATGAACACGGTGGACCTGGCACACGTGATTGAGGAGTGGCGAGATCTGCAGTCAGCAGAGAAGGAGGAGGTAAGAACTTGTGCATAAATTTAGACAAAAAGCTCTAACTGAAAGGTAGTTTAAAAATTGCATTAGTGGCTTTATATATATTAGAAATGGGAAATGCTTTTCTTTGGAAAACTACCACATGACTGGGGTAATAAACAACCAACTCATGGGTAATTGATTATCTTCTTGAAAGGTAATCAAGAACTTGACAATGGCATCAATATCTTATGAGAAATATCCATCCTAGCTTTGAAATAATTGTTCATTTCTTTCTATAGCATGAGAAGTTGGGAGACATTTGTTTTTCACTCCGATATGTCCCTACTGCTGGGAAACTGACAGTGATTGTGCTAGAAGCCAAAAATCTCAAAAAGATGGATGTGGGAGGGCTTTCAGGTAAGAATTACACCATTAGATTTAACTTTAATTGCTGAACATTTTAATGTTCCATATGATCACTTTGGGGGCACTCTGAAGCCCCTCCTATTCTCATAATTTCTGGCTTCAACTTTTCCTGGTTATAAAAGCAAACTGTCCCCATGGGAAAAGAGGTGAGGAGAAGTAATGAAGTATACAATTCTCAAGAGCTTGTAAATATATATAATATTCATATGAAGAATAGGAATGGAAATTAGACTTCAGACTGTCCCTGGGCAGGAGGTCAAAAAAGGCCACTTACCTATTCAATACTATTCAGCTGAGTCTTTGTAGGGTTTTTTTTTTAAAGAGAAATGAGCCAGGTCCTTTAAGTTAGATTAACAGTTGTTCAACATATGGGAATAAACATATGTAGCATTCGTTCTTGATTTGGCTGTTCAATGAATGCTTTAAAACTTGCCATGAAAAATTGCTTTTGTTAACAATGAAAATACATACATAAATACAACTATTTTGCCCTTTGTTGCTTTCCCAGAAATGGCTTTAAAATTAAATTCTCTCATCGGGGTATTGGGAGTAAGAGAATCATAAAGCATTTTCATACTTTTTTGTCATCCTACGACAGATCCATATGTGAAGATCCATCTCATGCAGGGAGGGAAACGTATCAAGAAGAAGAAAACAACCATCAAGAAAAATACACTGAATCCCTATTATAATGAATCCTTCAGCTTTGAGGTGCCTTTTGAACAAATCCAGGTAAATCTTCCTTCCCTGTGCAATCTCATTTCACTTGAAAATATGCTCCAATTATTTCCAGTCACTTTTATCTGTCCAAAATTGGCACTACTTGTTTCAAAACAGGAGTTACTGGACTATTGTATGTATTTCATGTGAAGGCCTTGAACTAGTTTGTTTTGCAAGGTAGTTTGCTGTTGTGCATACTGCAAGCCAAAGCTCTTTGTAACTCATCCCAGAATCTATGTTCTTAAGGAATCAACAAGGCACCTTCCTGCCAAAGTTAAAGTCAATATACCCAATGCCTAATATACTGGGAAAGAATGGTGTGGAGTTTGCTACAGTTATTATATGATTTGCTTGTCTTAGAGAATAAAAATCCTCAGAACTTTGCAAAGCTCAAGGATAATTAATGCCTTAATGCCAAGAGTCATTGTTGGATAATTTGTCTCTGTTAACTTTCACTTGACTTGAAGGATCAAACTATTTGGAAGCCAAAGGTCTTGGAAATTCAGATAATTGTGAAGCTGAAAGAGGAAAAGTGATGGGTTCAAACCGGCATCTTTTTCTTTCCCCCTCTCTGCCATTATTCCTGCAAGCTGGACTGTCTAGGCCACATGCCTCTGTTTGGAACTCAAGATGGAGAAATGGAAGCTAAAAACAGAAATGGCCAGTGGGCAACAGTGGTAGGAAAGGCAGTTGAATTCATACATCCCTCCAATTACCTTTCATGCTGATGACCTTTTCTCTTTCTATAGAAAGTCCAAGTTGTCCTGACGGTGCTGGATTACGATAAACTAGGCAAGAACGAGGCCATTGGGAAGATCTTTGTAGGCTGTAATGCCACGGGTACCGAGCTGCGCCATTGGTCTGATATGCTGGCCAATCCCCGGAGACCTATTGCTCAGTGGCACACTCTGCAACCTGAAGATGAGGTGGACGCAGCAATTGGAATTAAGACCTCTTGATATCCTTCATTTCCAAGCCGACTTCTCCGGCAACCATTCCATCTCCCATCCAAAGCAAATGGGAGTGTGTGTTGAGGCTCCCCTGAATATGCCTGTTGGGGGGGGAGGGAAGGTAACCTGTGAGCTTGTCTCTTTTCTCAGAGCCATTTCTTGTTTGGAAAAAAAAAAAACCTCAGAGAGAAAAAAAAAACTTTTTAACCCACTGTGTGAAAAAAGAAAAGAATGCTTACTTAGTAATTGGAGACAAGTGACAGATTTACTATGTCAACCATGAAGCTTACAAAGCAATTTATGCAGATTTAGATACATATTTTAGATTTGATTTATGCATTTGAAAATCAAGCCTTATGTAAAAACAGCCTTCCCCCCCTCAAAAGCATTACTAAATAGTAATAGTTTATCTGTCAAATATGGCAATCAGACTTATTTACTGTTAATTCTCTTTATTTGATTTCACTATAGGTTCAAAATTAAATTTCTTTAAGGGATATCATTTCATACACATTTTGAATGTGCTGTGTTACCATATTTGAATATTAGACCTTGTATTGAAATCTATAGTCAACAATATTTACAAATATATGTTTAATAAGAGATTTTCTAAAAGTTGCAAATGAGCTCCAATTACAATAACTAAAAATTTTGGAGACTGTATTATAAAACAACTTTATAAAACTAGATCTTGGATGAAAATATAAAAGAACACTTGAAAACTTAGTTTAAAAATAAGTTTTCTACTATTTCATAGTGGCTTTAAGATGACTAAGGCTAGAATTTATATCCATTTAGCTGGAAGTAAATTTATTTAATTCAAAGATATTCTGAGAAGATGTTATAGGTTTGCAGGATAAGAGTGAGATTAGATTTTCTGGATTCTGTACTTCAGATATACTCCTCCTTATTAACACTCTATCCAAAATAGGACTAGGTAGGTTAAAATTGTAAAATGTCATATGTGTAGATTCCATATGTAACATTTTAGTAAACATAATGTAGGATATTCTAACCATCTTCCACATACTAGAAACAATAATTTATAGAGCCTGCAGTTTGATGCTAGAATATAATAGTGTGTTAAGCTATTCATAAGGTTTGTTGGTTTGTTTTCAATTACATTTTTTGGGTTTTATAACAGTTTTGCTTATGCATTTATCTGTTTGACAACTTGTGCTTTATAATATGTATGTTTATGAAATGTTTGATATTAATAAGAGTATTAGGGAAAATTTGCTACAAACTTCCTGAAAGCAGGTTATATTTACTAGCATTTTACTACCCAACTTGTAATAATTTTGCTTTGTTAAAACATGTTTACATTTTTGCTACAAGCTTAAAACTAATTTATTATACAATTGCAATAGGTTTCCTGTTTATTAGAAAGCAGTTTGAAGCATTTTATAAATGGAAAAAATACATTTATCCAAGAAGTTTACTCTTGGATTTAAAATGTTTGACAGTAGTTTTACAAAGGCCTAAAACATGTTTACAATGCTTTTGGTATAGCAACATTACAATTTATTAGACATATTCTATAATTGTTTAAAATTTGGATGACTTGCTAAGAATTTATAAGCTGATTACACTGCCAGCTATTTTCAGCAGAATCAAAATTAAGGGGAATAAATATAAACTACAAAAGTTTTGTTTTATAATCCTGAATTAAAATACATATATGTAACTTTTATGCCAAAATTTTGTCTATGTTAGCAAATTCTGGATAGGATCATAATCCTTCAAAAATATGCCCTTCTTTAAAAAATAAAATAAAATTAGACTTTTTGATACTAATATTAGAATTTTTACCCATATTTTTATAGCACTTGCTGAAATTGATTTCTCATCCCATTACTATAGTTTTAAATCTTGCAGGTGCTTTTAGCTCCAAGGGAAGGGATAACCCACCTTTACAAGAGAATAACCATCATTTTAACAAAAGCCTCACCTCTAAGACTACCTATTAATGACTGTATTAGAAAAAAGACTAAGGGTAAAGCATTACTATTCTCAATACATGATTATACAAATATTTATAGAAAAAGAATGCTACAGTTCTTATCTAATAGTTCTAGTTGAGGCAAAATTGCTTATTTCCACTTCCTAATTTTGGCTATAAATTAATGGTTGTTTTTTAACCTTGCTGTAAAATAAGAACTGAGGAAAAAGAAATGGGAATAAGATCTTACAGTGCAATCCCTATATACTATACCCATCGCTTATATATATATAACTAATGGAGCTAAATGGATATAGGATTGATGCCTTAGTAATTCTGTTTTAGGGAGAAAATTTTTAACAACATCTAGAACAAACAGATATACCATTATTTGTCCTCCTATCACTGCTTTCACATTCTCCTAGATAGTCGTATTTCTCAGTTTGGTGCCCTCCAGGTATGCAAGTAAGGTTATGACTTCAATTAACCTGAGCCACTTAAGCTGGAGTGAGGGCAAATGTAGTTTGTTGTATCAGAAGTGCACAAAACTGAAGAGAGCTTCTAAGAATTCGATAGTTTCTATGTCTTTCACCGAGCTGGTGATAGAAATGGTGAGATGGCTGAATCTATAACAGTATTGGATAAGAGAAGCCACTGGGATACTTTGAAAAGCTGAAGCATGTTGTATAGGGACGATGTTTCAAAAGCCATAGTCCACACCTTTGCTTATTCCTGAGTAACAGGGTATTTCACTTCCAGAAAAGCATGCAAGAATTTGTAATAAGTGGCTTAAAATTTAGGGTCTTTGACAAAGAAAAACAGATGGTCTGCTTATAGGTAGTCCTCAATTTATGACAACTGAGCCCAAAATATTTGTTGTTAAGCAAGAAAATTGTTAAGCCCCATGTTATAATATTTTTTGCGCAGTTGCTAAGCAAGTCACTGCTGTTGTTAACTGAATCATGAGGCGGTTAAGCAAATCTGACTTTGCTTGATAGAAACCAGCTGGGAAGGTTACAAGTGGGGGTCACATAACCCCGGGGCATTGCAGATGTCATAAATATATGCCAGTTGCCAAGTGGCCAGATTTTAATCACTCAACCATGGGGATGCTGCAATGGTCGTAAATGTGAAAACTGGTCATAAATCACTTTTTTCAGTGCCATTGTAACTTTGGTCATTAAACAAATGGTTGTAAATTGAGGACTGCATGTATTTCATTCATGTACAATAAAATATTTACATAGTTCCTCGGAAAATAATATTGAGAAACAGAATTGTAAATCAGTTTATTTATAATAAAAGAAGTAGTCATTGTATCAACTGACAACAGTTAGAAATGTTTATTTGGGATTCATAGATCTGACTATAAATTCTGTCTTACTCCAAACAGGATATTCATACTATCTCATTTTCTGAATAAGGGACATGGTTTCAATTTGTTTTTAAATTTTAACAATATTTCTGATGAACAGTTAATAAAACAGATAGTTCGATGATTTTCAGTTTTGTTTTCAAGATTTCAGTATAATACATGAGAAAAGTCATGTCGATTCCCATCCTATTATATTCCCATTATAGAGCCGAGGTGGCGCAGTGGTTAAATGCAGCACTGCAGGCTACTGCTAGATCAGCAGTTCAGCGGTTCAAATCTCACCGGCTCAGGGTTGACTCAGCCTTCCATCCTTCCGAGGTGGGTAAAATGAGGACCCAGATTGTTGGGGGCAATATGCTGACTCTCTGTAAACCGCTTAGAGAGGCCTGAAAGCCCTATGAAGCGGTATATAAGTCTACTGCTATTGCTATTGCTATCCTGTGCTGAGTAAAAATGTATTTCATTTCTCTAGAAGAGACAACCACCTCACATAATTAGACTGACGCTCTCAAAAGTACTATCATTTCAGACATTGATTTAAATGGATCATTTTCATTTTATCCAAGAAAGGGAAAAGATATATTAATACTTAACTGGTGCAAACTAGGATAATATAAAGAGAATGTTGATCGTCAGTTTTTTAGTCAGTGAATTTTTTTTTACTAATAGCTTCATGTGGAGATGTATTGGGATTTAATGATGCCCCACTTCAGCAAACAGATACGGTAATTAAAAAAAAAAAATCTAGGCCAAGATTTTTGCCCATGAACGGCATGGTGGCCATTTTGTTTTCTGGTTTGTGCGTTTTTGTAGTTGTGGTGTTGATAGTTATACATTTATCCACTTCACTTTAAAATATGCCTCACTCTGTTAGCCTCATCACATTAATCCCCACTGAGCTGCCGCATACATCTCTTTTACTTTGAATTATGAACGTTAGTGGGGACATTCAATATGGCAGTTGCTGAGCCATGAGATGTTTAGTATGTCGAACAGTTGATCATTCCATGCAGCTGAAAGTTCACTTCATTTTCCTTTTCTCAGTCCTTGAGAATTGATCAATATATCAAAGATAATATTGGAACTGTCGGTCAGTGCTGTGTGCTGTACTTCCATCCACTGTAGCTTGCTAATAATTCAATCTTTTTCTCAACTTCTACACATCCTTTCCACATTTTAGCATCAATAAGTATGTAGATGTCTAAATCAACTGCCCAGCATTGGAAAGGGGTCACCTTCTAAGTTTTGAAGAGTTGTGTAACTGTTATAATTGAAGGGATTGTGTAAAGTGCAGAAGGCTTTGTAACTCTGGTGTGTGTTGTTTCTATTCCCTTCGTTCCTATGAATTACCCTCTGAGCGGTACTGTCCTTTCAAAGCCGCTTCTACTCCTCTTTTGAAATCAGTTTTAATATTGATGTATTTGACCAAACAGTACTCTTGGCTGTTAATAAATAAGAAATCTCTATATTTCAATTGTGTTGCTTCTTATTCTTTTTGCTTAAGGTTCTACTGGGGTTGGGGGAGAGCTTGGAAAACATTCTCATCCTATTGTAAGATTCTATCCTGTTCACTTATACTTTTGTTAATGGTATTGAATCTGCGATGGCTCAGTGGCTAAGATGCTGAGCTTGTCAATCAGAAAGGTTGGCAGTTTGATGGCTCAAATCCCTAGTGTCGCATATGGGAGTGAGCTCCCGTTACTTGTCCCAGCTTCTGCCAACCTAGCAGTTCAAAAGCATGTAAAAATGCATGTAGAAAAATAGGAACCATCTTTTGTGGGAAGGTAACAGCGTTCCATGTGCCTTTGGCGTTTAGTCATGCCAGCCACATGACCACGGAAATGTCTTTGGACAGCACTGGCTCTTCGGCTTTGAAACAGAGATGAGCATCGCAACCTAGAGTCAGGAACAAGTAGCACATATGTGCGAGAGGAACCTTTACCTTTACTGAATCTTCAAAGTTAAATGCAGGGTCATTTCATTGCACTAACTCTAACTAATCCTTTTTTTTTTTCTCCATCTTAATCCAGCCTTCCACAACCAACTCTTACAAGATATTTGGGGAACTATAATTCAAGAATTCCAAGTTAATGTGACCAGTGTTCCCTCACTAGGAAGCAGGTTGGGTGAGGAAATTCAATTGTGAAAATCCTATATTTCTAATACTATTTTGCCTATATTTTTAATTCATTTATTCTAAAGTGAGTGGAATAACACAACATTCCCAAAGGTGCTTTTTCAAAAGGCAACTGGAATGTCTTTATTTTTTCCTTGAAGACATTTCGTTTCTTATCCAAGAAGCTTCTTCAGTTCAGAACCATGACCTGGATGACTGAGAATCTCCAAGACATAATACATTGCTAGTTAGTATCATAAGGGAGACAGCTAACCATCCCTGTTTCATTGGACTTACTCCCACCCTACAGTGGTCTAAATAAGAGAAGTAAGATATGGACCCAAGCACTGCATAATTTGTTGAAGATACCTGAGAATATCATAGAAAACCAAGAAAACAAAGAGATCATTAAACCAATCAACACAGAGTTCTCTCACTGGAGGCACAAATGGCCAGGCTCACACTACCCTTCTTCAGACACCTTATGCAAAGACCCAGTTCTCTGGAAAAGGCTCTAATGACAGAAGGTGGAAGGAAAGAAAGAGAAGTAAAGGACAAGCAGCAGTTAGATGGATGGACTCAATTTCAATATGGAAATGATTGCATCATTGAGATGAACCTCAGATAAAAGAACAGGTTAGAGACGGAGGATGTTCTAGGAGTTGTTACCAATTTGATGGCATATAATCAACTATATATTAACCTGCCACCTTTTGCAACCAAAGAGCAAAACGAGTGGTGCAGCTTCTTTCTAAAGAGACTGCTGAATTGCAATTATTTATTATGCCTCGACAATCCCTATTGACAATAATCTTTGCCTGGTGCAGTATCAGAGCTAACCTATCTAGGTTGCAAAACTCTGGCCCACCCCTAGAAGGAAGCCAAGAGAGTCTTCCAATTTTAATTCCTATACACCTAAATGATTTTATTCTGTTTATTGCACGGATGTCTGCATGTTATTACTCCGTACATTACTTTGGTTTCGGTTAGGCAAAGCAGCACATTAAATTAATAGAAGGGGGGGGGCTCTCCCCATGCAATAAACTGCATTAATGCAATCAGCAAGGGAGTACTGCTTCTCTCGTAGATAAACATTTCCCCCTCCGGTTTCTTCCATTTTAAACTTCTTTTAGCCACCCGGGAGCATCCCCACCCCCGCTCCCCCAAGCAGTTCGTGACTGCATCCACAGAGACTTCTATGTTATTATGACGGCAGATTAGTGAGTACGTATAATGTACGCTAGGCTTATAAACGGTCTTGAAATGGAAGGAAGGGGTGGAGAAACGCCATTTCATTCAAACGACGAAGAAGCGGAGAAAGCGTCTCTCTGAGGTAACCTATGCCAGGCTCGCCGATGCATCACCGCAGGCCCCGTTGCCAGGGAGACCGCGTCCCTGACTACCCGACACGCCTCGCCTATTTTTCCTTTTCCTGGGCTTGGATTGGCTGTCGCGCGTCCTATGGCGCGACTGATTGAACAGGGAGCTGTCTGTCACGACTTCCATCAGGAGGGTGGGCAACAGGAACCTACACCTGAAAGGGCGCTTCGACCCACTTTTTCGACAGAGGATCGTGGCGGAGGGAATAAGCGGGTAACTCCACTTAAAGGCAAACTGAGGGGGTAGAAGGGATGGCGGGATAGACCGAAGTGATTTTCAGTGCCGGTCAGCAGAGTAGCAGAACACATCCAGTAGAGCAGTGTTTTTCAACCTTGGCAACTTGAAGATGTCTGGACTTCAACTCCCAGAATTCCCCAGCCAGCGAATGCTGGCTGGGGAATTCTGGGAATTGAAGTCCAGACATCTTCAAGTTGCCAAGGTTGAGAAACACTGCAGTAGAGGAGGTTTTAAATTCGAATTAAATTCAGTGCTGGTTAAGGGAAACTCAGGGTAAGGGATGGGCCAACTAAATAGGATTACAGGTAATCCTCGACCGCAGTCGAGCCCAAAATTTCTGTTTAAGTGAATTTCGCCCATTTTACGATCTTTCTTGCCACAGTTGTTAAATGAATCACTGCAGTTGTTAGTGGCGTGGCTGCTAACTGTATCTGGCTTCCCCACTGACTTTGCTTATCAGAAGGTGACAAAAGGGGCTCACATGACCCCCTCGGATCACTGCAACTGTCATAAGCGTGAGTCCATTGCCAAGCCTCTCAATTTTGACCATGGGGATATTGTAATGGTCGTAAGTATGAAAAACAGTCACAAGTCACTTTTTTCAGTGTCTTTGTAACTTTGAACAGTCACTAAACTAACTGTGGTAAATTGAGGACTATTTGTATGAATATCAGATGTCAAGGGTCGTGCCATGCTGTTGCACAACGAATATATTGCTTTAAATCTATTTATTGCCATTGTGGAACTGCCTCATCCTCCTCGCACAATTATATCATAGCATCTTAGGTGCATTATGCCTACAATTTACTCAGAAATAAATTGGTTTGAATTCAGTGGTGCTTTCTACATAAATATACGTTTCAGACAAACTACCTAGGACAGTATTTTTCAAATTTGGCAACTTTAAGATGGGTAGACTTCAACTCCCAGAATTCCCCAGCCAACAGTTGTGAGTTGAAATCCATCTATCTTGCCAAGTTTGAAAAACACTGATATAGATGAGTAGTTCTCGAATTGTAGTCTGAGAACCTCTGGGGGTCCCTGAGACCTTTCGGGGCAACCTTAATGTTGAATAAATAAATATTTTTAAGATTTCTCAATTTTAATTTCTAATACAGAAAATATTGATAGATATAGTCCACATAAACCTTTGGAGTTCTTCATTAGTGTTTCCTAAATTTATTTCTCTCATGTCTCCTTCCCATTTTTAAAATTATGTAGGACTCCCAAAAAGCTTTTATTGTGTATGGGTTCTGTTTATCAATATTTACTATACTAAAAAAATTAATTGATGTGTTTGCTACCACTACCACTTCTCCCAATTGTTTGATAGGATTTTAATGTATTATTTTTCAATACAGGCTGGCAAATAATTTTGATTTTACAGACCTCTTGGATCCCTGACACTTTGGGAAATAGTCATTTAGAATAATATTAGCTGGATTGGAAGATTGTGCAAAGCCATAATGTAGTAAGATTAGAGCTATTTCATCTTTTGCAACTTATTTTATTATTGCAATATTAAATGGTGAGATCCACTTTTTAGTTACATCTATTTGATGCTCCATTTAAAAACAGATTAGTAAGCATTAATCAAAGTACCTAGATCTGCCCTATATAATTAGTTAATTTAATTCAAAATTGTAATTATTTATGGGTAAAATCCTTTACCAGGGTTTCAGAGAAGAATTTTCCAAGTTTTTCCTATACAGGCCAGAAAATGATCTTTGGCAAGTATTTTATTGCTGAAACACAGCCCTTTCCTGAGATAAAACTGAATTAAGACCATCAGAGGTAGGCTAGACCTTGCAAATTTTATGTACTGTATTTATTCATATGAATAAATTGAATTTGTAAGGTTGTTCCCCACAGTATTTGTTCACAACAAATTCAAGTTCCTCCTATTTACAGTTGCATTCATGTTAAGAATGTTTACTCCTAGTCCAAATCAGTGTGATAATACTCATATATATGCCCCATGCATTATCTTTCCACCCCAAACGTAGAATCACATATTACACTGCTGCAGCCTTTTTCATCTTAAAAATAGCTTGCTACATAGAATATATGAGAAAATCTAAAACTAAGCATCCTATTCAGTTTATTGGACTAATTTTTGGAGTCTTAACATTATGAATTCTGCTGTAAGCTTGCACTTTTGAAATAATTAAAATGAAAAGCTGGGATAAGAATTGGGTGTCCTGGATATTAGTAGATAGATGGTCCCCTTGACACTATTCTAGTCTCTACTTGAGGTCATTGTGGGGATCAGAATATAACAAATGCCGTCGTGTTATATCAAATGCTGCAACAAAGCCTTCCCTTCTGATTTTTTCCCCCCGATTCCTGCTAGTGAATTTTTATTTCCTTTCAGTGCAAATGCCCTTATCCTTGATTACTGGCAAATTGGTATAATTAGGGATTTGTATTCCATGCCTGTTCATGTCCTCTGAAAAGATTTGCTTAAATTGGGAACAAAGGTGCATATGATCAGGTCACTTAAATATGGAGACAAGCACTGGGAAGTTGCATGGAGTCTTTTGTAAATAGGTTTGTCTTTTCATTTTAGAATTTAGATCAGCCTGAACTATGTTGGCTCATAAATGATGTAAGTCAAGTTGCCTTTCAGAGAAAGCTGTGTGATATCTACTTAATAAACTGTCCTACGAGTAAAATCAAAAGAATAACATTTTTTTCTCTCCAGTTTGATGGAGTCCAAAGCATTACAGTATACAGTAATTCCAAGAACTGGAGTTGTTCACAAGAAATTAAAAATATAGGCATCAATCTGCACAAGATGAGAGATAGCAATCCTATAAGATAGATCAGTTCTATGGGAAAGGATGAAATTGAGAAGAGCAGTTTTTTCTTAGATTAACCAGGTCACAGCAAAATCAAAACCATGCTGTTTGGATCCATTTGAGTGGAGTTCCCTTCTAGTTATTTACTTGCTGTGTTTGGATGTCATTTTATAATTTGTACATTGGGCAGCTATTTTTAGTATACGGTAATTTGTTCTGATTAATGTTTATTTCTGCCCAGAATGACACTATTAGAGGAAGATCAGATTCGTATAAGAATGTAAAAAGTAGATAACATTATGGCAAGAGAGTAAGTCAATTGTGATGGGTTCCTGATACATAATTCCTAAATTTTATGGTTTTTTTATATGATATATTTTCTTTGCAGCCATGTTAGCAGCAGGTACTGGCAATGGTTTTGGTACCACAGCTTGGTGGGGGTTTTCTCCAGCACTCAACTTGCAAGCAATGTGTAAGTGTCACTTATTTTTTCAAAATGCAGGGTTCCCTTTTCCTTTCTGCTTTCATGTTTTATTATGAAATTGGAGCCTCGTCGCACAAATGTGGAAGGAGCTTTATGCTTCCAATAGCAAAAGCTCTCTTGTTTCTGCTTCTAGGTGGGCTCAATAATGTGATGCTACCTTTAGAGAGCAGCTACCTCTGAATAAAAAATATTTATTGATCCACCAGACGCTGATGTTCTATTGCCTATATATGTGTTCCATACACAAATATACATACATACAGAGAGGCAAACTGCTGGTTCTGTATGGTAATATTGCTCTTACCTCCTCCCACTTTTATACCCATTATCAATATTTTAATATTCAATAGCAGGCCTACCCTACCTGCTATTAATGTCAAGGTGCTTTTTTTAATGAAAATATTAAATTGTTATGTTGCAAAGCAATCCTTCATTTCTTTTTCTGAGTTTGTGTTTATTTTTAAAAAATGCTCTGAATTTGCAGGGCCATTGCATCATCCTGACAGAATCTTTTTAAAATAAAATTTTTAGCCCAGGGCTTTGTCAGAAAATGTACTGTTCTGACTAGAAGAAAAAAAGCTAAAAGTAGATCAGATGAGCTGGTTTGCTTTCAAATGAATGGGCAATTTTGGTGAATAATATCTGTCCTGGCAGCTTTTTAAGAAAAAGACAAAGCCGTCTGTGATAGGCATTTTATGAAAGCAGTCACAATCTGCTGTCAAATCTCGATATGCTCACTGTTGTAAAAAGACTGTACCTCCTTGATATGGGCACATGCAAAAATTTAGATTCTCCAGTCAAATTGTCTGATTCCATGATCCATAAGTAAACAGAAGCTAACATAATTGCAACACGGCACAAATTTAAAACAGCCTCTTTCTGGCATTTTCCATTTCTGCAAATTACTATTTACTGTATGTGCAATTGTTTACAGATGCAGAATATGAAAACATTCTTTGCCAGTTCTTGAACATGCAGGATTTTCCTATTAGGAAAATAACATATGTCTTTAACATAGAATATTGGCAGTCATGAACTAACATACTAATTATCTCTGCAGCTCTAGAATCCTCCACGGAGCATCTGGAACTATCCCAGAATGGCGTTCCTGAACTGAACATCCTGCTAGTGGGATCAATAGATGCACGACACATCCTAAAAACGATGAGTCAGATGCATCGGCAGCCTCGAAGAAAAATCAACGTGCGTAACTTTTTCTTTCCATGCCAGATTCCCTTATGATACTTTTGCACATTGGTTTGTCCTGATAATTATGTTGCATTTTCCTTCAGTTTATGTTTTATTTCCTCTTATTTCCTCACCATTCTGCAGAGACTGAATGGTTTCTTGGGTTATATGACTAAACTTTGCAGATTTATTATTTTGTTAATAATTTAATAAAACACCTATACCAGGAATCCCCAACTCCTGGGCCATGGACCAGCACCACTCCACGGCATGCCAGAAACCAGGCCGTGTAAACAAGTGAAGCCTCATACCTGGGATTCAGGCAGCACATGAAATCATGCCCCTTCCATTCCATGGAAAAACCTCTCTCCATGGAACTAGTCCCTAGTGCCCGATAGGTTGGAGCTGCTGACCTATATATTTCGGCAAAAGGACCAATCAAATTCTATAGCTAGAATGTACATTTCTTTGCATCTGCTGCAGGAACAGCATTTCTATGCTAGTGAATGGACTTACAAATTATTTCTTTCATTAATAAATCACTGCCATTCTGTCAAATAATTTAGAATTGTCTCCATTTATTGTATTTTAGTCTATAAAGTTTTGTCTGTTACCCATCAAATGGGAGTTTTATTGGAATAGGCTTGCAACAGCGATAAGTTGTTGTTGTTTTAACAAAAAATCTTGGTTGCATTTTGCCAAATGATGCAGTAGCAATCTTACTGAAACTAAAACAAATCTGAGTCTCATTAGGAGACAGCATAGGAACTTTACTATTGGAACACTTACTTAGCAGTGTTCCAATATCTCAGGGTCTGCCATAAAGAAGAGAGGGTCAACCTATTCTCCAAAGCACCTGAAGACATGACAAGAAGCAATGGATGGAAACTAACCAAGGAGAGAAGCAACCTAGAACTAAGGAGAAATTCCTAACAGTGAGAACAATTAACCAGTGGAACAACTTGCCTCCAGAAGTTGTGGCTTATCCGACACTGGAGGTTTTTAAGAAAGAGATTGAACAACCATTTGCCTGAAATGGTATAGGAATTGGACTAGAAGACCTACAAGATCCTTTCCAACTCAGTTATTCTATTACTGGTTTCCATGAGAAGGCAGATAATAAAGTGTACTAGTAAATAAAAATAAATATTTAAATCATTTTTAAGGCGCAATTGTCCATTCCCGTTGCAGTATATTCAGCCTTCAAAAAAAAATATGACTCTAACAGATTGGCTACAGAAATTATAAAAGCCTTTGCAAATATAAACAGTGATACATAAATGCTTGACGATGCAGTTGAGAATGTTTTGAAACATCAAGAAAATACCAGAATTCCTCCTGATATTTAGTTGCTTTTCTATAAAAAGTCTATTATCAGTAGCTAAAATTCACCAAGGAGATTGGAAAGAACTGCACTTTCTTCTTCAGGGGAAAAGATTTCTCTGTTGGGCTATATCAGAGACACCAAAACTAGTGAGTTCTCATCTCAAATTTAAGTCATCTTGCCCATGTGATAAAGTGATGGTGGTTTATTCCGCCTCTTTTCCTTTTCCTAAAATGTGTGATGACATTAATTAATTCCTGTCATACTGAGCAGTCTGACAGGGCTGCTTTGGTAGCTGTCCACCAATGATAGTCCTTCAGCTCATCACAGTGCTGAAGTTCATGTGTATTGTGGTTGACATGTGAGGTGGAGGTGTGGAAGCAAAGATGTACAGGGGCATGTGTGACCACAGATGCAACATCACTGCAATCCCCCATAGCAACTCCTACATTCGCACGGATGTCCTTTGGTGCCCTTCTTTCATCATGAGGCTATGAGTCAACAGTTGTGATTCTCACAGCAAGCATTTTTCGGTGTCACTTCATAACAAGAGGATTTGTGGGGGAGAATGGAGCAGGGCTGTAAAAGAAAACTTTGAATTCCTGTTATCGGTCTCATAGGAGCTTTGCTTGAATCATTTATGATAGAAATGAAGTATTGGAGTACAACGGTTCTTGGACAATGAATCAGTTTGTAGAGGACCAGTTGAATAGTAAAGTGGGAAAGCTTTTAAAATAGAAAAAAGAATTTTCTGGAAGAGTGTAAGGATGCAGGGAGTGAGTTCTTACCAAGTAGGTTACAGCTGAAGAATTTAGGATCCAGAATTTCTCTCTAGGAAGCTTGTTTGGATGTTTTCAACATCTAAATACAGATAATTCACAACTTACAACAGTTCCTTTAGTGACCGTTCAAAGGTACAACAGGACTGAAAAAAGTGACCTATGACCGTTTTTCACATGACTGTTGCAGCATCCCTATGGTCAAAATTTAGATGCTTGGCAATTGACTCACATTTATGACGGATGCAGTTTCCTGGGGTCCTCTGATCACCTTTTGTAATCTTCTGATGACTACAGGCAATGGAGAAGCCAGATTCACTCAGCAACAGAAAATTGAGGCTCAATTGTCATAAATTGAGGATTATCTATAATTGAAAAAATGAAGGGTAGATTTACTGCTCTTTTGGGATGTGACAGTACTGAAGAGCTGCACTATTTTTGTAATATCTTCTTTATTTACAAATATATAGGTAAAAAGTGAAGAAAAAAACTCCAAAATAAAAACAACGGAACCCCTCCCTAAGAGAAGCCCTACCACCCCAAGCTTCCTGTAGTCAACTCACTCACTCTCTTCCACAACCTGCCAATTTATATTTATCTGGTGCACACCATATACTCACTCTAATTCACAGACATTTGCTTCCGTCAGCTTGAGCGGGTACTTCATTTTAAAAACTGGATAAGAATTCTCATCTCCCAGGAAATAATTTTCCGATCATGTCTTTTACTGATAAAATATCAATCGGTTATTCTGCTTTATCACCAGTAAGGAGGAAGGAGTGGGGCTAGCTTGAGAAGTGCTGCAGGCCAGACAATCAGATATTTCATTTTGTGCTAAGCATGTCTTATTTAATTAAGAGACAAACTTAATAAGATGTTGCAGATCAGTGATATGTTTCACATCTTTTTAATCTGCTTAAAAAAAATTGGTTTCAATGACTCAGTGGTCCAATTGATGTAAGGCAGTTTCCATTTTTATATTCACAGTGTAATGAGGAAAATTTTCCACTTTGCTCAACTAATTGCCTCTCTCGTTCGCTCAGTTCTACATTCTGGAGAACAATCTGGAGGCTGTGAGTCGGCAGCTGTTGTTCTTGAACCTGGCTCTGGAGCCTCCAGACAAAATGGGCCTACAAGGTAAGGAGAAAGTACTGTTTCTCATCTACTCCAGCTTCATTCCCTCCTTTTGCAACCAGTTGATTTGGGCTTCTGGATCACTCTGATGGTTGGGAATAGGTGGCAGATCCAGAAAATTGAATCTTAATGCCTTATAATTGATATCTCTTTGCTGTGTCCTCCTTCACCCAAGAGAAGAGTGAGACATTCTTGGAACTAATGGGGAACACTCACCTTCGGAGTCAGACTGCTGCCTATCTGCAGGAGAAAGCAGCCCTCTTCATCCGTTACATCACAGACTCTGACTTCCAGCTGGCTAATCTCCCTGTTTTGGATTTCTCTGCACTCAAGGTGAAATGCAAAATAATCCAAAAATCAGGTTATCACTGAAGGAGCAATGAAGACGTATTTATCATGCTGTTGTGGCTCTTTGGGATCCACAGTCTATAGCCACACATCCTGGATTGTGGATCCAAGTTACTGTACTCCACATTTTTATTTGTTTGTTCCACATAGAGAGACTCTGAACACTATTTGATAAACTACTAAAAGCATAAAAGAGGCAGGGAATGTTTAAAAACAATGAAAAGGCAGGGGGAAACATTGTTTTCTGGATTTAGCTCCTTGACGCTCTCCTCCCCCCCCCCCCTTCATGGGGTTCAGGAACTTCCTAATTCTTCTTCCTGTTTGGATAGTTCAGGGAGCGGGACCAATTAGAGGCCATTTTTCAGTTCTGGCGAAATCCAGACCCACAAGCTTTCCAGATCAAGCAGCTTTGGGACCTGCGTCTGCGGCAATACCTGGGCACCCGTTATGACTCTCGTCGTGGAGTGTGTGACTGGGATCTCACCATGAAACTGCACGAGCATGGGGTATGTAGCTAAAATATGGGGAAATATTAGCCAAGCACAATTGGGGTATGGGACTAAGAGATCATGGTAGGGGCACTTCTGCCCTTGCAATACAGGTAGTCTTCAACTTACCAACAATTCCTTTAATAACTGTTTGGAAGTTACAATGGCATTGAAAAATGTGACTTGTGACCATTTTTCACACTTATGACCATTGCAGCACCTCTGTGGTCATGTGATTTACATTCAGATGTTTTTAAACTGGTTCATATTTATGACTGTTGCAGTGCCCGAGGGTCATGTGATCATCTTCTGCTGACAAGCAAAGTCAGTGGGGAAGCCAGATTCACTTAACACAGCGTTACTAATTTTCCAACCTCAGTGATTCACATTAAAAAATGTGTCAAGAAAAGTTATAAAACGGGGTAAAATTCACCCAACCAGTATCTCAATTCGTAACATGAATTTTGGGCTCAATTGTGGTGGTAAGTTGGGGACTTACCTGTGTTCTTTTTCTCCATCTAGGCCACAACGATAAACTTCCATGAGTTTTTCCATTGGCGTAATACAGGCATGGCCTTTGAAATGCGAGAAGCTGTCTACGATGTCCCCAACAAAACCTTGGCATCCGGACGTCTCATGAGACACGTGAGGCCTTTCACTTTTTTAAGATGCTGGGAGTTGGCAAGGGAATTCTGGGAGTTGAAGTCCACAAATCTTCAAGTTGTCAAGGTTGATAAACACTGCTCTAGATCAGTGGTCTCCAACCTTGGCAACTTTAAGACTTGTGGACTTCAATTCCCAGAGTTCCTCAGCCAGCAAAGCTGGCTGAGGAACTCTGGGAGTTGAAGTCCACAGGTCTTAAAGTTGCCAAGGTTGGAGACCACTGTTCTAGATGATTGCTAAGGTATGGAGAGAAAAGGGAGGGGGTAGTGTGGTGTAGTTCTGATTGGACAATGCTATAAAATACAAATAGTCCTTGACCTACTATCACAATTGAGTCCAATATCTATTTGTTTAGCAATAGTAATAGCAGTTAGACTTATATACTGCTTCATAGGGCTTTCAGGCCTCTCTAAGC